GTAAGGGTGTGTGTTCCAAGGTGGATGATCTCCCTTTCCCATTTTCACAGTTGGAGCACTCACTGTGTTTGGTCTGTCTCCTGGGTTCTGCCAGATTAATTCCTTTTCTAGCTTCTTGTCATACATTTGTTGAATATAGTCACTGCCGCAGCATCCATTTTTAGGCTAAACTTGAGTTGTTTAAGAGCTAGTCATAGCCTGTCACTTTTGGCTTTGTGAAAACTTCTCTTCCTTGTGTAGTTATTTGTGACAGAGTCCACTTGTTTCTCATCCCACTGACCTAGAAATGCAACATACCACAGAGCTGATTACCCTAAGATAACCTAATGATCAATACCAGAATCAAATAATAATTTTCCCCCTTCATGTGTGTTTTCTTAAGATAGCCACTCCAAAACTCCTGCAGACAAGACTAGCAAATAATGCCCATAGACCTTAAGAAAAGCACCCCCACAGCCCCCTGCACAGGGATTCTCTCTACCACTTCCAGGAGGCTGGTTGAGCACTCTGCCACTTCTGAACTTTCTGTCAGTTTTCTGTCATTATCTCTAACATCTCTAAGAACTGTGAGTAATACATTTCTTCTATTTTATGCATTTTGGTTTGGGTTTCTCATTTCATTGTGTTTTACCTAACACACAAGTCTGAATCCCACTTCCTCACCTCCATCAGAGCTTTCCAGGGTCTTGGTTTACTGCAATTCTCATGAGACAGACTTCAATACAAAATTCAACAGAAATTATAACAATATAAATCACAACACTGCTGAATGTATTTAATTAGGAAATTAAAACTTATTATAATACATCACAGAATTTTCATTTATGAACAAATAAGAGATGTAAAAATAAGGTAAAATAAAACACTTTTGTTGAAGTTGTGTACCTATTTGCCTTTAAAAAAGTATTATCTACTAGGCTATAGAACGATGCCAACAGATAATGCCAGGTTGCAGGAAATGGAGGATGGGAGAATGCGAGATGACTCTCTAATGGGTATAAAGCTTCCTTTTGAAGTGAAAAAATACTTTGAATCTAGATAGTGGTGGTAGTGGCAAAATATTGCAAATGTATTAAATGCCAATGGATAGTACACATTAAATGATTAAAATGTTTAATTTTTGGCATAAAATTTTTTACTCAGTTGTTTAAAAAGAAAAACACAAGTGGATGGCCAGATTTGACTAAAAGACCAAAGTTTGTTAGCCATTGCTTTATGCTATAAATTTAATTCCCATATGTTTGAAATAGTAAATAGTAAATTGTCATTTTTATAATTTACGTTACAAACACATCATGTTTTTGAAATATACTATGCTTTTTTTTTTTTTTTGAGACAGAGTCTCACTCTGTCAGCAGGCTGGAGTGCAGTGACCTCAGTTCACTGCAACCTCTGCCTCCTGGGGTTCAAGCGATTCTGTTGCCTCAGCCTCCCAAGTACCTGGGACTACAGGCACACTTCACTATGCCCAGCTAGTTTTTATATTTTTAGCACAGACAGGGTTTCACTATGTTGGCCAGGATGGTCTCGATCTCTTGAGCTCATGATCCATCCACCTTGGCCTCCCAAAGGGCTGGGATTACAGATATGAGCCACCATGCCTGGCATGTACTATGCAATATTATCAACAGTAAAATTGTTGTGGAAATTTTTTGATTTGTTTAATTATGAGTGCAAATTTTATTCTGATGTATACAAAACTGTTTCTAGTGCTTTGCAATATTAGTGAATTCCTTCTTTCAGCAACCCCATGAGGTAGATAATACTGTGACCACCAGTGCCATTTCATTGATGAGAAAGCTGAGGGAAATAAGGTTTAAATACCTTGTCCAACACACATCATTATGTAGTGGTTTCTCAGAAATTTGAATCAATGTGACCTGAATTCAAACTGCCAGCTTTTAACAACCATGTTATGCTGACTCTTCTATTTGGGATTTTTATAGCAATAATTTATTGGCATTATTTCTATTTATTGGAGCATCAGTAACTTTATCATCTTTTATATGTTATTTGCCATTTTTACTTTGAATTATCTATTCATACTTTCAATAACTTTTATATTAGATCGTTTGTCTTTTTTGGTGGTTGTTCTGTAGTTGTTACTAAACAATGAATACCAATCAATTGTTACATGTGTTGTAGGATAAGTTTAATGTAAATAAACACAGGTTTATAAGCATGATAAAACAACATTATTAACCTTTGGCACTGTATTAGTTCTGTGTTTCTTTGTATATGTATCAGTTCCTGGATGATTTGTATGAAATATTCTGTTACAAACTCTTCTTATAATTTCTCTAGTATCAATGTTATACTGTGTGTGTGTGTATAGTCATGATTTATATAAACATATATAAAATATATACATATGTAGTGAGATATATATATATATATATAAATTTATATTTAAATCATTCCCTAGGCTGGAGAATACTTGTGTGATAATTAGTAAATAGTAATGATTCTTACCAACAAAGACAACTAGGTTTCTGTCCATCTGGACCACATTTATCATAAAGTGTTTCCCTGATGTGTACATTAAAGAAGGTTTATGGCTTGATTTAGCCGTTTTGCACATTTGTAAAGTCATTGTATACTTTGCACACTTTTGTCATGCTAAAGGATTTCGTGTTTCTATTTTATATTTGGAGAGGAAATGGATCTAAAGACCCTTGGAAAAAGAGAAAAATTTGACATGATTATTTGAAGTATAGTATGTGGAATAATAATTATTATTTCAAACTGTCATCAATAAACACATTGAATTTCACCACATATCTATTAGGTAACTAAGTGATGCAGTGTCTCATTTTAAAATAAATAGACATGTATATGTACATGTAAGTTTAGCAAGATTAACAATACACTTAACCCCTTTATAATAAAATTCCTATATTATAACAACCAAAAAATAAGAACTTACATTTGTCAGTAAAGGTCAAAAATGAGAATAGAACACATATAAAATTTAGAATTTTTTTTTTTTTTTTTAGTTCTGTGAATAATGATGATGGTATTTTAGTGGAAAATGCAATGAATTTATAGACTGTATTTGGCAGTATGGTCATATTCACAATATTTATTCAGGCCATCAATGAACACGGGATGTGTTTCCATTTGTTTGCAACATCTATGATTTATATCAGAAGAGTTTTGTGATCTTCTTTGTGGAGAACTTTCACCTTCTTGGTTAGGTATATTTCTAAGTATTTTATTTTATTATTATTATTGTTGCAGATGTTGCAATAGCGGTGGAGGTTTTGATTTGATTCTCAGCTTTGATGCCCACATAGTCAAAGCAAGACTAAGAAAAAAAAATCTGGAGGTGTCACATTACCCTACTTCAAACTATACTACAAGCCTATAGTTAGTAGATACTGGTAAAAACAAAACAGCATGGTACTGGTATAAAAACAGGCATGTAGACCAATGAAACAGAACAGAGAATTCAGAAATAAAACTAAATACTTAGAGCCAACTAGTCTTTGACAAAGCAAACAAGAACATAAGGTGGGGAAAGAACACCCTATTCAACAAATGGTGCTGGGATAATTCACAAGCCATATGTAGAAGAATGAAACTGGATATTCATCTCTCACCTTGTATGGAGATCAAGTCAAGATGAATCATATAATTAAATCTAAGAGCTGGAAGTGTAAAAATTGTAGACAATAACATCGGAAAAACTATTCTAGACATTGGCTTAGGCAAAGACTTCATGACCAGGAACCCAAAAGCAAAGACAACAAAAGCAAAGATAAAGAGATGGAACTTAATTACACTAAAAAGCTTCTGAACAGCAAAAGAAATAATCAGCAAAGCAAACAGGCAACTCACAGAGTTAGAGAAAATCTTCACAAACTGCACATCCCACAAAAGACTAATATCCACAATCTACCAAGTACTTAAGCAAATCAGCAAGAGAAAAACTAGTAATCCCTCAAAAAGTGACCTAAGAACATGAATAGATAATTTTCAAAAGAAGATATACAAATGGCGAATGTCCATAGTTTAAAAATCCAAAAATAATAGATGTTGGCATGGTGCTAATAAGAGAACACATTTAGAGTGCTGATGGGAATACAAACTAGTACAACCACTATGGCAAACAATATGGATATCCCTTAAATAACTAAAAGTAGAACTGTCATTTGATCCAGCAATTCCACTGCTGGACATCTATCCAGAGGAAAATAAGTCATTATATGAAAAAACCCATATACACACGTTTATAGCAGCACAATTCACAATTGCAAAACTGTGGAACCAGCCTAGATTCCCATCAACCAATGGGTGGATAAAGAAAATGTGATATATATATATACACACACACACACACACACACACAAAAATGTGTGTGTGTTTGTATACACATACATACATATATACTATGTATATATTGTGTGTATATATATATGAGTGTGAGTGTGTGTGTGTGTGTATCACCTTTACTTTATCCCCTCATTGGGGGATGAATACACACACACACACACACACACACACACACACACACACATATATATATGAATACTACTCAGCCATCAAAAGAGACGAAATAAACCTGGATGCAGTTGGACACCATTATTCTAAGAGAATTAATTCAGGAATATAAAATCAAACAATGTATGCTCTCACTTATAAGTGGGACCGAAGCTATTAGGACACAAAGGCGTAAGAATGATATGATGGACTCTCGGAACTCAGAAGGAAGTGTAGGAGGGGGCTGAGGGATAAAACACTACACATTGGGTACAGTGTATATTGCTTGAGTAATGGGTGCACCAAAATCTGAAAAATCACCACTAAAGAGCTTATCCATGTAACGAAAAACCAACTGTCACCCAGAAACTATTGAAATAACTAAAAAAAAAAATTAAAAAACAGATGAATGTTTTTAAATAACCAGAAAAATAGAATTGGCTCAAAAAACCAAACACATTGTAAAATTAGTTTATTTTGTAGTAGAAACCAGGTATGAGTAGCTGTATTTCTAATTCCACATACTTTCCACTGGGAAATGACTGAAGCTCTAAAATGGTAAGCATTTTTATCACACCTTTTAGGAAAAAAAGTGACGCTGAAGCTGGATGCACAATAAAACCAAGCAGCACCACTCATCTCAAAATATCAAGAGGAAGAGAGAGACTTTTTATACAATCTAATTATTTAATAGTTTCCTCAGAGACAGTTAAAACGAAACAATCCTGCATGAAATGAATCCAAAATATGCTGAGTATGTGCAAAACAGTATTGATACTGTCAGTGCACTTCTTAATGTTCTTGTTTCCACGTACAGTGTGTGATATGTAATTATGTTTAGTACATTTTTTCATATAAACTGTGAAGTAAAACAATAAATTTCAATATAAGCTCAATAAATTTCAATATAAGCTCATATGACTTTATATCATTTTATTTTCCCTAATGTTTTCCTCCTTGAAGTGAAATATTTCTAATAGTTAAACAGGTACTAAATCTCTAAAAAAGAAATTTAGACTTGAAAAGGTAAATTTTGAAAGATGTTTTATGACAAGAAGAAAGGAATCTTGTATCACGACCTCTTCTTGTTGTAATAAACTGAAGGAATCTCATTTATCGGATTTTGCAGCTTCCAACCTCAGACATAATTAATCTCTTTTTCCCTTCTTTCCTGTTCTAACAAACTTCCAGACACAAAACAGACATTTTGTGATGATGAAAATCACAGTTGCCACACAGGCCAGCAGGAACCCAATCACATCCAAAGAGTGGTACTGGAACCAGGTGAGGTCGTAGGCAGCAACCCGAAGGTGTTTGGCTCCTTTATGGCGCATGACAAATTCAATCCAGAAGACTGCTCGATCCAGGGGCTTCACTGGTTGATCATGATGAATGCTTGATAATTTCATAGCATTCTCTTTATATCTAAATGATAAACATAAAGGTATCAACATTGACATATACCCTAGATCTTAAAGTATAATAATAATAAAAAATTAACAAAATAATTAAAAAAAGAAAGTAAGTTAATTAGGCCAGGCATGATGGCTCATACCTGTATCCCAGTAATTTGGGAGGCCGAGGAAGGTGGATCACAAGGTCAGGAGATCAAGACCACCCCGGCTAACCTGGTGTAACCCTGTCTCTAGTTTAAAAAAAAAAAAAAATTACCCAGGCATGGTGGCACACACCTGTAGTCCCAGCTACTTGGGAGGCTGAGACAGGAGGATCACTTGAACCCAAGACGGGGAGGTTGCAGTGAGCCAAGATCACACCACTGCACTCCACTCCAGCCTGGTGACAGAGTGAGACCCCCTCTCAAAAAAAAAAAAAAATAACTTAATTTGCCTGAGCATATCGTCAATGAAAGGTTTTTCAAGTATCATATGATTCAAAGTAAATGTAATAGAATTGACATAGAATTTGTGTATTTTAACTTGAGTCATCATAGAAAGTTTGGATTTTAAATTGGATTTCATAATTGACAAATATTTTTAAAGTAAAAATGGAAGTTCAGGTGAGAAAGTTCATTATTTGAGGTAGAGAACATATGAGCAATTTTATTTCTTTTAATTTTTAGTTTCTTTGAGTACATAGTAGGTGTATATATTCATGAGGTACATGAGATGTTCTGATACAGGCTGCAATGTGAAATAATCACATCATGAAGAAAAGGGTACCCATCTCTTAGGCATTTATCCTTTGTCTTATGAAATATACAATTACACTACTCTAGGTCTCAAACAGGCATATAAAATCATGCTCAACATCATGAGCCATTTTAAGTGGAGAAAGATATATAGTTAAAATACAAATTGAGAATTATCATCCTTAAGTTTCTAAAGATGAATTGTGTTATATGGGTGAAATGCCTCATAGCCAGGAGCTCTGCTTCTATTCTAATCTTTTGTGTCCTACTGTTTCTCACCCAGTAGCCAGAATGATTTTTTTTTTGAAATAAAAGTCAGATTATGACACTGCCTTGATTAAGACTTTTGCCTGAACTTTCATCATATCAAGAATAAAATCCAAAAAATTATTTGGTCCTCAGGATCCTCCAATATCAGACACTAGTAAGCTCTCCTCCAGAAACTTTCCCATGCACACTAGGTCTTCTAGGGACGTTGGCCTTATATTTTTCTTTAAGCTCCCATCTTAGCACCTTACACATTGTGTCCCCTCTACCCACGGTTGGAGTATTCTTTCTTGCAACAACCCAAGGCATGCTTCTATCTCTTTTTGAGGCAACCCTCTAAATGTTACTGATAAGAGAGGCTTTTCCTGGCCACACTATGATAGAATACCTAGGATTTCCTCTATTTTTTGTGTTTATTTTTAAATTATTTGAGGCCTAGAATCTTAAAACACATTTATGGCTTCTAAAATACATATTTATGTATAAAACACATAAAATAAATGTACACACGCTACGTGAGACAGCTCAAAAAGGTAAGATCATCTTAAACATTATTGTGAAATGAAAACACCAATTTACCTATCTCTCAGATCATGATAGAGACAAATAAAATGTGGCATACCCATATTATAAAATATGTTGCTGTAAAAAGAAATGAAATGTTAATACACGCAACATAGATAAAGTCAAAAACCATAAAAACAACAAAAATTGTAATTGGTGAAAGAAACATCATAAGTTGTATGATTCAATTTGTATGAAATATGTAGATAGAATAATCGACAGAGAAGGAAAGCAAATTGGTGTTAGCCTAGGGCTAAAGGGTCATGAGAAGTGACTTCTATACCATTATGGTTTCTTTTATGTTGATCAAAATGTTCTAAAATTATATAATAGTGATGGCTTCATGACTGTAAGCATACTGAATACATTAGGATTTTATACTTTAAGTAGGTGAGTTTTATGCTATGGAAGTTAAATTATCAAATCTGTTACAATAATGATAGTAAAAATAAATTTTTCAGTGAGAAAAAAGATATACTTTGAGGCATTTTAGATATTGAGTTAAAATATTTTATTCTATGATTTCAAGTTTATCCTTCCTTTCTATTGTGGATTGATTATGTCAAATTATTTTAAAATGTCTTATTATGTATATTACTTTAAATTTTTTGTGTAGAAAATTATTTCAATAATTGGTTATTCATTAAATGTATGTGGTTTTTTAATAACAACTCAAAAATAAAAGCAGATTTCAGATTGTTTAAATCATTTAAATTCTTTCAAAATCAGTCTCTGATAAAAAGGATAAGAGCCTTACTCACTATTGACAAGAGAACCTATCTATAAATACCACCGAGTAAAGAAAAAGTGATACTCACAAAGGGTCATTAATTACAGTTTTCAGTGCATGGAGTAAGTCTGTACTCGACATTGTGTTGAAGTCCAGACTAACAGCTGCACCCTTGGCCTTCATGTGAGCAATGTTATCAAGCTGATCTGCAAACAATGGAACGCCCACCATGGGAATTCCATGGTAGATCGCCTCGCAGATGCCATTGGCTCCACCATGAGTTATAAAAGCTCTGGTTTTTGGATGACCTAGGATTGGATGAATTTTAGCAAAATTATTCATAGGAATAAAATGAGAAATGCACGATAGAAGAATCTGAATGTGGCAGTGTTTCCTAGATAACACACTGAACTGAAATAAAATTGTTTTCAGACTTCAGAGGAAGGAGTACCTACTTCTGCTGGAGATGTAAGTGAAGGCTATGTAGTGTGTTCAACTTCAGACCAAAAAAATAATACAAGATTACCAGTTGGACTAACAAAAAAGTGCAATTTAGATAAGGAAACACAATGTGCAAAAAGGAAAAAGCACAGAAAAGGGATGGGCATGTAAGAATGTGTTCTTGTTTTTTGTTTTGTTTTGTTTTAATGGAGACAGAATCTCCCTCTGTCGCCAGGGTGCAGAGCAGTGGTGCAATCTTGGCTCAATGCAACCTCCATCTCCTGCGTTCAGGCAATTCTCCTACTCAGCCTTCTGAGTAGCTGGGACTACAGGGACAAATTGCCATGCCCGGTTAATTTTTGGTATTTTAATGGAGACTGAGTTTCACCATGTTGCCTAGGATGGTCTTGAACTCCTGAGCTCAGTCAATCCGCCCATGTCAGCCTCCCAAAGTGTTAGGATTACAGGTGTGAGCCACCTTGTTTGGTCGGAATGTGTTCTCTTAAGTACAGTCATGGAGTGTGATATGTGGGGTGTGCAAGGCAGCAGGCAGTGAGGTGGTGGTGGTGCTAGAATTGAGGAAGGACAGGTCACACTTCATTATGAAATGTGTCAACACTTTTTGATTAAGATTAGGGATTTAATCCTATACAAAATGCAGTGTCCATGGTGGTAGCAGAAGAGCTGTTATTTTTAGTGACATTTGAAATAACCCTACAGAAGAGGAAAGTAAAGTTGTAGAAATATGAGAAAGGAAGACAACCCAGGGAGTGCCAGAAAAATTTTGTGAGAGGAAATAACACCTGAAATAAAGATACTCTGATCATAAAGAATGTGGGTGCCTATCATAAAATGCCAACAATTATTGTTTATTCTTTTCACCCTAGGACTGGAAAATAAATATACAGAAGTTTCATTTTATTTTTAAGTTTTTCCATAACAAATGTTCAATAGGCTTGTTTCATGATGACTAGTAACACTCTAATAATCTGTTACTAATATACTCAATATTTGTTCTCCAGAGACTTACCAAGAAGATCATTCTGGGGTAGCCACTTGTACAGCTGAGTATTGAGTCCTAAGGTATCTGGTTTATTCCCATCAAATCTCCACAAAACCTGTTACAGAGAAGAAAATATCTTATTCCATGAGAGGAGCTCAAAAGTTATAGAATGTTAGAACTCTAAAGAGATTAACAATGAGAGCAAGGGATGTTAAGTAACAAGAACTACTCAGACTGATGTAAATAGAATACCCACATTTCATTTCCTTATTTTTATAATTAGTTAGGTATATAAGGAAATCATGATTTTTCAAAATAGTAGCTTAGACAAATAAGATTACCAATGAAAAGTTCAAGTATTCAAAAAAGTTGTTACACTTTTCAAAAGAAAACCTATATGGGGCAAACCTCTGTATGAAAAAAAGCTTAACATCACTGGTCAAAACCACAAAGAGATACCATCTCACATCAGTCAGAATGGCCATTATTAAAAACTCAAAAAATAACAGATGCTAGTGATGTTGTATAGAAAAAGAAATGCTTGTACTCTGTAGGAGGGAGTGTAAGTTCAACCACTGTGGAAGACAGGGTGGTGATTCCTCAAAATCCTAGAGGCAGAAATACTATTCAACCCAGCAATCCCATTACTGGGTATGTATCCAAAGGACTATAAATTAGAACATGCCCACATATGTTCATTACAGCACTATTCATCTTCACAAAGACATTAAATCAATCTAAATGCCCTTCAACGATGGATTGGATAAAGAAAATGTGGTATATGTACACAGTGAAATATTATGTAGCCAAAAACAGAACAAGTTCATATCTTTTGCAGGAACATAAGTGAACTGCAGACCTTTATCCTTCACAAACAAACACAGGAACAGAAATCCAAATACTGCATGCCTTCACTTACAAGTGGAAGCTAAAAGATGAGAATGCATGAACGTATAGAGAGGAACAACATACGCTGGGACTTATTGGAGGGTGGGGGTTGGGAGGAGAGAAAGGATCAGGAAAAATAACTAAAAGGTACTAGCTTACTACTTGCATGACGAAACAGTCTGTACAACAAATCCCCAAGGCATAAATTTACCTATGTAACAAACATCCCCATTTACAATGAAATTAAAAATTAACAAATGGAATTTGATTTTAAAAAGATAAACAATTTTAATAATTATATGCATTGAAAATTTTAGGTAGTCATCATTCTAGTGTGGAAAATCTGTACCAACTTACTAATGACCTATATGCTTATTTTGTGTTATGTATTTTATGAGTTTTCATCTACCAAATTTAATATTAATTTATTCATATTTTGCATAATATGGGAAGTAGTTCACTTATATCTACTTGTCTATAATTTATTTTAATAGAGTTTGATGTCTTTGATAAAAATGCAAGTCTATAAAATAAGCCACCTGGAAGAAGTCAATTAATGCCTCAAAGGTAGCATATATAACTTCTTTGAAATTACAAATTATCAAGCACTACTTCCAAGAAAAATTTCAAGTGATAGCTTTTGACACAAATTCAGAGTATTCTCAGTATTGCTAATTTTGGATATTTTTTCAACATAGAAATGAGGAACCTATAGGTACCACAATTAAAAATACAACTCTAGAATAAATTTAAAATTGTATTTTGCTGAATTTTGGTCAACTGATTGCTAACACTTAGACAACGTGCTACAAAATTTTGACAACAGAGATTCATATGTTCTGCTGTAACCAAGACATTTTTATGTTTACGTTACTAATTTTGGAACTCCCAAGGAATCCTTATAAATTAAAAAAAAATTTACAGGGTTTAAGTTCTATTTGTTACATCCATGTTAAAATAACTTTGAGATTTTGGCAAAATATTATCATAGGCCATTACAAGAAGGCTATAGCAGACAGGGAACTAAAAAGTGATCGACGCATTTTATTCTATATCAAAGAAAATATGTTCCTACTATGTTCTATGGAGGCAGCATCTGAACCTGTTCCCCTGCCTGGCTTCCTTCTGCTTGAGTCCTTCCTGTATTTCCTTCTGCTGCCTCCACTGGGAGGAGTTGTTAATCTCACAGTGCAGCATCCTTGGGGGCTACATATTATACTACACAAGGTCCACCCTCAGAGCAGGATCCATCTCCATCCTTTTTCTTTCATCTTCCTACTTCAGACATTGGCTGGGTCTGGTCCAGCAAGGCAGGCTGCTTTTTCTCTTTCTCCAAACTTGCCTGGCCATGTAGGTCTTTATATTAGTTGTCTGACAGCCTAGGCCGTCCTTTCTCTGAATAGTACCCTGAACATCACTCAAATAGGCCTACTCCAAAACATATAGGAAGTACACGAGGCTGGGTAACATGGCAACACTAAACTGCATGATGCATGTCAGACGTTTTAAATACCTGCTATTGTTATTGTTCTAGTGAAGTTACTAAAATGTAATGTTTTCTAACATCTGTAGGGTGTACACTGCCCTCAGGAAATCTTAAACAGAAGGATCAAATCACAGGGGCAGAATTTGGTGATAGCTCTTACCTGACCCCAATGTCATGATACCAAAACTTTACCTGAAACTCTTAATTATATTTATTCTTGATCACAATATTAATGCCAAATTAATTACCAATGAAAAACACCCTCTGTATTATTTTAGTATCTTCCCTATATATTTTTGATTTTGAATTAATATCTGAGATAATTAGTGCTTTCCCAACAGCTGAATTTATAGGCAGGAAGTTTCTACAGTTGGATTCTTTACAAACTTTAACAACCTCTTTCAGTAGTTTTTCACAATATTAAGACATTTTATCTAACCTTTTGTGGGATCTTGGCGAGTGCTGATGCAATTACGTTGGCCCTTTCTTCTGACATGTTACTGATCATCGACCCCAGAGAAAACACCACAACACCATTGTCTCCAGAGCTCTGGACAAACTCTTCCATTTCCTGTGAAAAAAAGAACGTGTTCCATCATAATAGATTATCAGCACAGCAAGCACTGTGACACAATTGGTATACAAACTAAAAAGAGAAAATCAACTACTATCAGGAATAATTGTAATAAAGGATGTTTTTTCACTGACTCAATTATTCAGTTTTTTTTGCAAGATGTATACTATGACATTGGTTGCCTCTGTTAAGAGTATTTGTGTAAATATGTGCATATATGTGCATGTGTGTGTGTGTGAAAGAGAGAAATGAAATAGAGCTATTACATAGTATATGGAGAGATACCCGAACTCTTCATTTATAATATTTTAAGTACTAATGTAGGCTCCTTAAAGTGGCACCATTTGGCTTTAATGCTATATTGTTGTTCTGCTAAATCACATATGTTTATTTTACGCAAGTTTTCTGCAGAATTATTTTACTTGGAAGTCATTAGTAGTTGACTTCCCTGACTCTGAGCACTGAGGAAAAGTTACTCACAGCTGGGATTATGTAAATCTACATTTATCTTACTATAATCCTTTACACGTCACTTAAAGTTTGTCAGAGTTTTCCAGTCTTTTTTGAAAAGAAAAGAAAAAAAGTAACTGTAAAAAGTGGTGGTTAAGAATCACTGACATTCTGGAGTCTGCTATTGTGGTCTGGAGTTTCTATGAATTAATTCTAAGAGTCTCATTTATAATACAGAATTGTACAGTATATAGTAAGATAGTTGAATGATCATAGTTTTCAGCTGATTGTTTAGGTGGAACACCTATCGCCCTGAAATCACACTATTAAATTGATGTGCTATCTTTAACTGCATGTGAGGAAGTCTCATCATCTCTTTGCTGTGTCTCAGAGGCAGCAGCACTTGCACCAGAATGGAAGAGACTGCCAGGCCTTTCTGCAGAGGAGATTTGGTCACCTTCTTGAGTAGCTCACTCACATCACATATAAATCTTGGTGAAAATGTACTTGGCTGGAATTTATTGAGAATCATTCTAGGCCGGGCGCGGTGGCTCACGCCTGTAATCCCTGCACTTTGGGAGGCCGAGGCGGGCGGATCACGCGGTCAGGAGATCAAGACCATCCTGGCTAACACGGTGAAACCCCGTCTCTACTAAAATACAAAAAATTAGCCGGGCGCGGTGGCGGGCGCCTGTAGTCCCAGCTACTCGGGAGGCTGAGGCAGGAGAATGGCGCGAACCCGGGAGGCGGAGCTTGCAGTGAGCCGAGATGGTGCCACTGCACTCCAGCCTGGGCGATAGAGTGAAGACTCCGCCTCAAAAAAAAAAAAAAAAAAAAGAGAATCATTCTGACTTGTGTTCCCCAATCTATGCCAATTTTTAAAGTTAAATAATTTCAGATGTAATCATTGGGATAAAACTTTCTCTTAAGTGTTCTTTACAAAACAAAGAACAAAAATCCAAATGTTTATTTGCAGACCACATATGGCTGAGTATTTTTAAAAATATGACTTCTAATCTTAAGAAATTCGTATTAATGATATCAGAGTTATTGTAGTACTGTTCCAGATAATACATGGGATACCCAGGTATTGTGTGTGATTGCAGTTACCTGTAGCCACATTTGATGTAACTTATGTTCAGTGTTTTGTCTCAGTGGCTTGATGTTCAGAGCTTTCTTCATCCACCCAGTGTTAAAAAAATATAACCACGGTTTAAAGATTCATTATTGATGTGGACTAATTGTTTCCCATTCTGAAACAACTTAAAAAAAAAACAACACTATTTATGTAAGGAATTTTATAAAAGTATTAAAAGTTCTAAAAAGAAAATAAATTTTTAAACAAAATTTCTGTCTAGAGATGTTATCATGGTAAACTATGTATGTTTTCAACATGGCTTTTGATCTATTTTTATAGCTCAATGTACACTTGTGACATTTACTTAGACAATTTTGTTCTTATTGTATGTGCTTTTCCTCCTACAAAAAACGTGTCATCTTGTAATATTTATTATTTTCTACCTCGTTTTACTTGTATTATAGCTGACTGTAATTGAATATTGTATTGATAAAATTATTATAATGTTACAGTATGCATCTAATATAAGGTTTTAATTATTCCTTCATTTAAGACGTTTGATTACTTCCAGTGTATATTTTATGAATATTTTCCATAAATATTAAATATGTATATCTTGATTTTTTTTCTCTGTATGAATTCATGTAAATTTCTTATAAAACCAATGGCTATATGCATTTTTAACACTTGATACATTTGCCAAGTGTCCTTTTCTATTAAAATATACGTAAATTATCTGAGAATCTAATATTTAATTGAATAGAAAGCAACTTGGGTTTACAATTATTTTGCATAATAAACAATTAGAAAATGGGTTTCACAACCATTGACTTGCATTCAAAGCTTTCTTCAAGTTAATAACAACAGCTAGTATAAGTAATTAACGACAGCTAGTATTAGTAATTATCACTGTTATACTACTAGTCATCCTTTTTCTTGTCTTTCTACACCTCTTACTTTCTTGCTCCTCCTACTGGCACTATGGGTTTCCCTTAATGTGAGTGGGGAAATCTTTCAAGAGTAGGATAGGGTGGCACAGAATTTCCAATAGTCTCACCTCAGCTTTTGTCTCTTTAGAAAGTTACCAATATAAAGCCCATACAATTTGAATTCAACATAGATATTACATTTTAACTATGGAATAAAATATCAGCACCATGTTGCTGCTAATAAGGAGGTAGAAAAAAATGATCTCTTAAGAGATTACATAATAATGTGATAAACAATGCTTACTTTCTAACTACTTCTTAGAACTGTGATATCAATTTAAAGTATATGAGGTTCTTATGTTTCTTCATAAAGATTATAACGTTACATGATGACAGAATTCTTTTGTTATTGTAAACTAAGGGCACTATTCAGATACAAGTGGTAGAAATTATTGGGTATTTATTATACATGCATTGTTCATTTTTTCTGTGCTTCTCTATCAGGCAGCTATGATGTTGAGACACAAGTTACCCCAGGAAGCTTTACTGAGTTGCTTATTTTAAGGCAGAAAACACCTGCCCTAATAGGGTATGTTTATGCTAAGATGTAAACCTCTGGAATTTCAATGCAGAATGATTTAAATATTTGAATAAAATCAAGTGAACACTGGGTCTTGCTTCAAATATTATTAGAATAATACATTTATATTCTTAAGGAATTATTTTCTTATAAGTTAGAATACTGGTGAAGATCCTTATCATTTATGGTAGAATTTTACAATTTCAGCTCGTTCATCTTACTGTCAGAACTGACATGTCTTCTTTTAATCAAGTCTACAAGGTAACTGTCATATAGAAGACAGGTAGGACTTTGTTAGAGAATGCAATCTTGAAGCACTGAATAATTAGTTTCTATTAAATGATGAATGATATCTCAAGTGACTTACACATGTTAAGTAATTAGTAGTATTTGTAAAAACAAAAATAGCCATAATTGCAAAATTAATAACATTTCTGAATCACTAACTATATGCCAGAGACATTTAAAGTGGTTTATTTGTATTAACTTTTTTCCACACAACACAATATGAGGTTAGCACTATTACTGCAAAAGTAGGCATAATTAATTCTATCCACTTTCTAGTTCACTTTTCCATCATCTGCTACCTGAATTCATACAAAATTTTCTGAACGGTCGGATCTTCCCAGTCTGGCCCTTCTGCAATTTAATTCATTGAACATCTTGGAATATTTTTAAAAATATAATCTTATCACATATTTTCTTTTCTTAACTCTTTTTAGTAGTTCCTGAATGTGCTTAATACATGTTTCAGTTCCTAAGGAGTATCTGGCTCTGTCAGCGTCATCTGATTTTTACTCAGTATCTCCCTTGCAAACTAAACTTTGAGTCTTGAGAACTGCACTGAACATTTTGCCTGTTTTTCTTTTTGTGCTTTTTTCTCTCTCTCATTGTTTCATCTATTCCCGCATATTGTTCAGCTCTCATCTAAATTATTAATATCAGTGACTCCAGGATACTCTATTATCTACACTGGATGCTTCCTTAGCATTGGGTTTTCCCTGGAGATAATAGTTTTTGCACAGTTTCTATTACTTGCATATATTGTATCTTTCAAAGTAAATATAAGGTGTGCTGGGACAGAAACTGTGTCCAACACACTTGCCTGTGGTGTGTGCTAATCTCGTTATAAATATTCTTTTAATGAACAGCCAGTACCTTCTTATGTGTTGCATAATCAAAGCTTTAATTTACCCACCCTATTTTCAAAGTCTCCTTAGTATCCCTCTTTATCTGTAATAATGATGAAATTCACAAACTTGTGATGGTATCAACATGTATGTGAGTTTTTAATTGGTATGTGCTTTACCTTCCCACTACCCATGTTTCTTCCAGTGTAAGTCAAACACTCTGAATGAATGTAGAACCATTTGCACTGAAAATTCAAAGCAGACAAACAAACAGTAATAGTTTACCTTAGGTAGGGGTTTGGCAGGTTTGCAGTGGAGTCCTCCAACTAACTTAACATGTGGTAAGAGTGGGTGAGGAAATTGAAAATCCCAGTAGTTTCGAATAAGCCATATTTCAGCTTTTGCCATTGTCTCGAATAATGTAGTAGGTCTTCCTGATGGGAAAATAAAAAAAGAAAAGGTAGATGACACAGATCATTAGGTAATTTTCTGAAAGAAGTTGGAATAATGTAGGCAAAAATGCAAGTGAAGTGTTTGTGCTTTGAAATAGATATACATATATTCATATGTAGGCATAATTTAATTATTATGTATTATATATTTTGCCCCTGTGTATTTACAAGAAAGATAAAGTGGTGAAAGGATCATGAGGGAAAATTACATCCCTTATGTCACATCAGTATATTCACAACCATAAACAAGCCATGGAGAATTAATCATCATTTCTTTATTTTTTAAAACTTCATAGTAACAAATATACATAAAAGTCACTCTTGGAGCTCCATTATCAATGAATTCTACTGTACCCATGAAAATAATTTTCTAAGAAATAGTCTCATTTCCATAATTCATTAATCTAGTCCTTTTATCTTTGGATCTTCAAGTGAACTGTTGATTATTTTGAAATTATGGCTGAAATCCTTGTACCTGCTATTGCTTTTGATTCATGCTAAGATCTTAACAATATTAGTTTGTAAGTAAATATATTTGCAAATTACAGCTAGAAAGCTTTGAGAAATTATTAAAATAGAAATGTGTGTTCAATATTAATTTGGCTCATATTTTAAATGAAGATGCATAGTTTCAAAAAACTATACAGTTATAACTTTTTTAAAATTATTACTATACTTTAAGTTCTAGGCTACATGTGCACAATGTGCAGGTTTGTTACATATGTATACTTGTGCCATATTGGTGTGTTGCACCCATCAACTCATCAGCACCCATGACGTCATTTACATCAGGTATAACTCCCAGTGCAATCCCTCCCCCCTCACCCCTCCCCATAATAGGCCCCGGTGTCTGATGTTCCCCTTCCCGAGTCCAAGTGATCTCATTGTTCAGTTCCCACCTATGAATGAGAACATGCGGTGTTTGGTTTTCTGTTCTTGGAAGTTGCGAGAATATGGTTTTCCCAGCGCATCCATCGTCCCTACAAAGGACACCAAAACTCATCCTTATTTACAGCGCATAGATTCCATGGTGTGTAGTGCCAACATTCCTAATCCAGTCCCCTGTCACTGATGAAAATTGGAGTGATCAAGTTCTTGCCTATTGTAATTCAGTGCCACGCAATAACCATACATGGGCATGTGCCTTTATAGCAGCATGAATTTTAACTCTTGGATATATACCAGTAATGGGATGCTGGTCATATGCACTCTAGTTTCTAGATCTTGGGAATCCGCCATACCTGTTTCTCATAAGGTTGATCTAGTTACAATCCCACAAAATGTAAAGTGTTCCTATTGCTCCACTCTCTCACGCCACTATTTTTCCTGACTTTTATGATTCAACCATTCTAACTGGTTGTGAGAGGTATCTCGTTGCGGTTTGATTTCAGATCTCTGAATTGCCCCAGTGAAAGACGAGCATTTTTTCATGTGTCTGTTGCAGCGGATGCATGTTTCTTTGAAAATATCTGTTCATACCCTTTCCACTTGATGGGGTGTTTGTTTTTTTCTTGTAAATTGTGTTGAGTCTTGTAGGTCCTGGATATTACCTTTTGCCATGATAATGCAAAAATTTTTCCCATTCTGAGGTTGCCCTGTTTCACCTGAATGTATTTCTTTTGCTGTGCAGAAAGCCTCTTAGTTTAATTAGATCTCATTGTCCAATTTTGACTTTTTTTTTTTTAACAGGAAATGGGGAAAGGATTCCCTATTTAATAAATGGGCTGGGAAAATTGGCTAGCCATAAGTAGAAAGCTGAAGCTGGATCTTTTCCTACTCCTTATATGAAAATTAATTCCAAGAGATTAAAGACTAAAATGTTAGACCTAATACCATAAAAACCCTAGAAGAAAACCTAGGTAATACCATTCAGACATAGGCATGGGCAAGGGACTTCATGTCTAAAAACACCAAAAGGCAACGGCAACAAAAACCAAAATGGGCAAATGGATCTAATTAAACTAAGAGCTTCTCACAGCAAAAGAAACACCATCGAGTGAACAGGCAACCCTACAGAATGGGAGAAAATTTTTGCAATCTACTCATCTGACAAAGGGCTAATATTCAGAACCTACAAGAACACAAACAAATTTACAAAAAAAAACAAACAACCCCATCAAAAAATGGGCAAAGTATATGTACAGTTACAACGTAACGTGCCACTTTCGACAAGATGACTGGCCTTAAAATGAATAGTTTCCAATCCTTAAGTGAAGGAGAATAGAAGCATTGGAAACTTCAAATTATATGCATTGGTTTCTGTTTCTGAAATGGAGACATTATTTCTCTCAACTGTGGAGGAAACCTCCTGGTAACATGGGTACATATTGCAATTACTAAATAAGGAGACAGGTATACAAGATAAAAACAATTTCTGCAATGTTAAACAGATAGTTCTAGAAAAATGTGTAACTACTCAGTCTACCAGTATACATCCAGCAAGATGTTTCTTGGCCGGGCGCGGTGGCTCAAGCCTGTAATCCCAGCACTTTGGGAGGCCGAGACGGGCGGATCACAAGGTCAGGAGATCGAGACCATCCTGGCTAACACGGCGAAACCCCGTCTCTACTAAAAACACACACAAAAAATTAGCCGGGCGAAGTGGCGGCGCCTGTGGTCCCAGCTACTCGGGAGGCTGAGGCAGGAGAATGGCGGGAACCCGGGAGGCGGAGCTTGCAGTGAGCTGAGATCTGGCCACTGCACTCCAGCCTGGGCGACAGAGCAAGACTCCGTCTCAAAAAAAAAAAAAAAAAAAAATTTTTTTTGATGAGTCTGACTTTTTTTAAGACAAAAAATTATAATACAACAGAAGTGTGATTGCTTAAAGAAATCTAAGGTGCACTGATTTACAGATTTATGACTTCCTGGATTGTTCTGTATGGTTGATGGCCACAGGGTTTTAACAGATTCTATGATTTACCTTTTCTATAGTGTTTGTGAGTTTGATAATCTTTTTCTTTCATTTGATAAATTCACTTGCAAAAAGCTCCTACTACCCTGACTTTATGGCTTTATACAAGCTCAGCTTCAAAGGTACAAGAAAGTTAGATCTCCATGCTACCAAATGAAAAAATTACTTACCTAGAACTTCACTGTAAAACTGACCCCACTTCTTCGTATCCCATGCTTGAAACCAAAAGTCAAAATAAATCATATAGATCATATTTTTTACTCTCTCCATGAAACTCATTTGATCACTAAATTCTGACATAACAACAGGTACGTAGGAAGGAGGGAACAGAAATCCTCCACCATGCTTTTCAATCGCGTAGCCAGGAGAGAAGCGGAGGCTGTACACAAAGGGTATTTTAAGTAGCTCGGCCAGCAGCTCACCACAGGGGGAAACAGCATCTGCAAGAACAACATCAAATCTTGACTCCTGTAGTTTCTTCATAAGTTTCTTATTAGAAACCACATCTTTACAGAACTTTCTAATCATGTCACCATATGTCCACATCATTTCTTGTACTTGTAAAAAATGTGGCCAAAATGTGTCTTTTGGAATGTCTGACCATCTCTTAACCAGTTGTGTGACGCTATCCTCAAACTCAGTTTCAGTTAAAGATGTCGGACAAATTTCAAATTTAAGAGCAGATGGGTTGTTGGGACCAGGAAGAATGGAAGGTGAATATGCCAATACAGTCACCTCATGACCTCTCTGGACAAGCTCATCCAGGATTGTCTTTATATTCATCCAATGGCTGAATTCTGTGGGCCACACCAGGACCTTTCCACAATTCCCAGAGCTCAAGTAACAGCTCAGCTGTATCAGCAGAAGAGCTGAAGTCCATTTCATAGACATCCTGATGCAATGCAATGCTTGTTTTCCAGTTGCTGCTCCTTTCTGTCATTTCTCATAGTGACATCCAAGTATAAATCACTCAAGAAGTTAAAATGTAACTTTTACATGTCAAAGTAAACACATTATATTAGCAGTCTGAGCACGTGGATAACAAGGAGACAAATAAACGGTAGAAGACCTGTTTATACAAGTGAGTTTATTTTCCTTTTCATATTTTTAAGTGCTATAATTCAGTTAATATCAGTGATATTGGATGGACACATCACCTGACTCATGTAATGTATTTTAGAATAGTGTCCATAAGAGTAGCTGTGAAAGGTTCATGCATTGTCTTTGACACAGAACTAAAGATAAAATAGCTAAACATAGTTCAAAAACTTCTGTAAATTTGTTGAAATATAATTCAGATACCATACAAATTATCACCTATTGCATAAAATTTAATGTGTCATAGTATATTCGCAGAATTGTGCATCTACCATAACAGTCAGTTTTAGAAAACTCTTATCTCCTAAAACTAAAACCTATACTCTTTATCCTTTTACTCCCTACCCCTAATTTTTGCATTTGTCCTATGTTGGACAAATGCTAATTGAATTTCTATCTCTATAGATTTGCCTGTTCTGGACATTTTTTAATACATGGAATCATACAATATGTGATCCTTTATGACTGGCCTATTTTACTTAATATATTTTAAAGGTTCATTTATGATAGAACATTTATATGTTGATTCTTACTACCATCAGGAATGATTTAGAGAGTTTCAAGATGACACTATTCCTGTAGACTTTGTTGAATTCATCAAGGATAAAGGGAGGGGAAGATATAAAAGTAAACCAGGCCTGCAGTACATTCAGCAGACAGCTTTCGGTTAGTTTGCTCTCTGACTCACTTCTTCATAGTTTTTTGATTATTATTATATAATTATGCAGACACTGTTACAAGATTATAGTTCATCTTAACTGTTCTTTAGATAATAACTTAAACATTTTGAAATGTTGTTTTCTCACCTTCAGTTCCTACATACTGATGAAACCACTGACTCAGCTGGTCTAAAGGACTTCACTGATGCCAGCTGGTCTCAAGGACACCACGAGGAGCTGACTCACCAAAGACTGCAGTTTCCAACTCCTGATGATTTTAGCCACTATCCTGACTAATCTGTGACCCCAACTTTTCAGTCCATCACTCTCCATTATCCCCTTAAAAAATCCAGCCCAGAACTCCTTAGGGAGATGAGTTTTAGGGTCTCCACCTATCTTCCTGCTCAGTGCCCTGTAATTATTAAACTCTTTCTTTGCTGCAAGACATAATGTCTCAGTGTAATTGGTCTATTATTGCAGAGTGGGCATGTGAACCTGTTGGCCCTATAACAAAGAATCCAGTGGAAGAAATAATGGCAAATATGGTGGAAATAGAAAGATAACTCAACTTGAAGATGTAACTACATTGCTGCAATCCCATGATAAAACAAATACATGAGGAGTTGCTTCCTATGGAAGAGCAAAGAAAGTTGTTTCTTGATATGGATCTACTACTGGTGAAGAATATGTAAACATTGTTGAAATGATAACAATGAATTTAGAATATGACTTAAACTTAGTTAATAAAGCAGCATTACACTTTCAGATCTTTGATTTCAATTTTGAAAGAAGAACCACCATGGGAAAATTGCTATCAAACAACAATGCATATTAAACAGAAATATTTTGTGAAAAAGAAGGGTTAGTGGATGTGGCACCTGCTGTTGTTTTCTTACTTTTAAGAAAGTGCCACAGCCATGCCAACTACTAGCAGCCACTACTCTGATGAGTTAGCAGCCATCAACATTGATGCAATAAAGACTTTCCACCAGCAAAAAATTTACAACTCACTGAAGGCTCAGATGAGTGTTACCACTTTCTAGCAATGAAGTGTTTTTAATTAAGGCATGTACTTTTTTTGAATCTTTTTTTTTTTTTTTTTTTTTTGAGAGGGAGTCTGGCTCTGTAGCCCAGGCTGGAGTGCAGTGGCCGGATCTCAGCTCACTGCAAGCTCCGCCTCCCGGGTTTACGCCATTCTCCTGCCTCAGCCTCCCGAGTAGCTGGGACTACAGGCGCCCGCCCCCTCGCCCGGCTATTTTTTTTTGTATTTTTTAGTAGAGATGGGGTTTCACCGTGTTAGCCAGGATGGTCTTGATCTCCTGACCTCGTGATCCGCCCGTCTCGGCCTCCCAAAGTGCTGGGATTACAGGCTTGAGCCACCGCGCCCGGCCTTTTTTTGAATCTTAATACTACTGCAGAATTAATGGACTGCAGCATTGTGTAAACGTAAGTTTTCTGTGCCAGAGAAACTAAAGCAAATGGTGTGACTCACTGTATTGCATGTTTTGTTTTATTGTAGTAGTCTGGAACCAAATCTGCAACATCTCAGAAGCATATTTTGTATTAGCAAAATCACTTAATATGAGATACACTCTTGAAACTTATTACAAGTGGGGAGAGGCCAAGATGGCCAACTAGAAGCAGCTAATATGCATGCCTGTCATGGAGAGAAACAGATGGAGTGAGTAAATACAGCACCTTCAGTTGAAACATCCAGGTACTTACACTGGGACTAATCAAGGAAGCAACTGATCCACAGAGAATGGAGAAATACAAGGCAGCTATGAATCCATCTGATCCTGGGCTTTTTTTTTTTTTTTCTGGTTGGTTTGTAGGGTATTTATTACTGCCTCCATTTCAGAATTGTTATTGGTCTCATCTTATTCTCGGTTCATCCTTGGGAGGGTGCATGTGTAAAGAAATTTATCCACTTCTTCTAGATTTTCTAATTTATTTGCATAGAGGTCTTTATAGTATTATCTGATGATGGTTGGTATTTCTATGGAGTCAGTGGTGATATCTCCTTTATCATTTTTATTGTGTCTATTTGATTCTTCTCTCTTTTCCTTCTTTATTAGTCTAGACAGCTGTCTATTTTATTTCACTTTTTCAAGAAACAGCTCCTGGATTTGTTGATTTTTGAGTAATTTTTCGAGTAATTTTTCATGTCTCTATCTCCTTCAGCACCACTCTGATCTTGGTTATTTCTTGTCTTCTGCTAGCTTTGGAGTTTGTTTGTACTTGGTTCTCCAGATATTTTGGTTGTGATGCTTGCATCAATTTGAGGACTTTCGAGCTCTTTGAATGTGGGGATTTAGTCCTTTAAATTTCTCTCTTAACGATATTTTAGCTGCATCCCAGGGATTCTGCTACATTGTCTATTTGTTCTCATTGGTTTGAAACAACTTCTTGATTTCTGCCTTAATTTCATTACTTACCCAAGAATCATTCAAGAGCAGGTTGTTCAATTTCCCTGTAGTTGTGGGGTTTTAAGTGAGATTCTTAATCTTGAGTTCTGATTTGATTGTGCTGTGGTCTGAGACACTGCTTAGCATAATTTCAGTTCTTTTGCACTTTCTCAGGAGAGTTTTACTTCCAATTCTGTGATTGATTTTAGAGCAACTGCCATGTTGTGCCGAGAATAATGTATATTCCTTGGTTTTCTGGGTGGAGAATTATGTAGATATCTGTCAAGTCCACTTAATCCAGAGCTGAGTTCAAGTCCTGAACATTGTTGTTAATTTTCTGAATTTTCTGCTTCAATGATCTGTCTAATATTGACAGTGGGGTGTTAAAATACCCCACTATTATTGCGTGGGAGTCTAATTCTCTTTGTAAGTCTTTAAGAACTTGCTTTTATATGTCTGGGTGTTTTCTGTATTGGGTGCATATATGTTTAGGATAGTTAGCTCTTCTTGTTTAATTGAACCCTTTATGCTTATGTAATGGCCTTCTTTATCTTTCCTGATCTTTTGGTTTAAAGTCTGTTTTGTCAGAAACTAGGATAGCAAGACATACTTTTTTCTGCTTTCTGTTTGCTTGATAAATTTTCCTCCATCCATTTATTTTGAGCCTATGTGTGTCTTTGCACATGAGATGGGTCTCTTGCATACAGTGTGTTGATGGGTCCTGACTCTTCATTCAGCTTGCCATTCTATATTTTTTAATTGTGGCATTTAGCCCATTTACACTTAAGGTTAATATTGGTATAATCCCATTACTGAGTATATACCCAAAGAATATAAATTATTATATTTTAAAGATACATGCACACATATGTTCATTGCTGCACTATTCACAATAGCAAAGAGATAGAATCAACCCAAAAGCCCATCAATGATAGACTGGATAAGGAAAATGTGGTACATATACACTGTGGAATACTATAAAGACATAAACAGGAATAAGATCATGCTGTTTGCAGGGACATGGATGCAGCTAGAAGCCATTACCTCAGCAAACTAATGCAGAAACAGAAAACCAAACACCACATGTTTTCACTTGTAAGTGGGAACCGAACAACGAGAACACATGGACACATGGAGGGGAAGAAAACACAATGGGGCCTGTTGGGCTAGGGAAGGGAGGGCATCAGGATAAACAGCTCATGCATTCTGGGCTTAATATCTCAGTGACAACTTGATAACTGCAGCAAACCACCATGACAAATATTTACCTATGTAACAAATCTGCACATCCTGGACATGTATCCTGGAACTTAAAGTAAAATAAATACAATGAAGAGCAATTATGAAGAGCAACAAAAATAAATTATGAATAAATGACATCTGAACTAAGAAAGAAGAAAGAAAAGAAAGAAAAAGAAAAGAAAGAAAAATGAAAGAAAGAAAGAAAGAAAGAAAGAAAGAAAGAAAGAAAGAAAGAAAGAAAGAAAGAAAGAAAGAAAGAAAGAGAAAGAAAGAAAGAAGAAAGAAAGGAGGGAGGGAGGGAGGGAGGGAGGAAGAAGAAAGAAAGAAAGAAAGAGAAAGAAAGAAAGAAGAAAGAAAGGAGGGAGGGAGGGAGGGAGGGAGGAAGGAAGGAAGGAAGGAAGGAAGGAAAGAAGGAAGGAAGGAAGGAAAGAAGGAAGGAATGAATCAGGATGATGGCCCACCCAGGAGCAATGCAGAGACAAGTGAGCCTCCCTGACCCAGAGAAGTGAAGAGTGAATGTGCAAC